ATATATATATATATATATTATCTGTCCTTTTTCAGAAAAAATTCCTGGCTTCTGGGCATTTGATTTTTTTAAAAAAATATTAGACAGGCTTTTAAAAACTTACCTTCAAGCAGTGTTTTCTTCAACATTCTATTTGCAATGCACTGTTATATCCTAGAGACATTAATGCTGTTTTTTCTATTTTCTCAGGGAGAAAAAGAGTCAACACTAAACTTTTGAAAAGAGTCAGAAAAAGAGGTAAGAACAAATGATTAATAAACTTTTATCAATTGAACATCTGAATCCCTAACCCATGTTCTGAGTGCTGAGTCAATTTTCACTATTGGCTTATGGAATCAGCAGCAAATATTAAGCTTTCCACAGGCATTTTTTCAATTTCAGCATGACAGACTGGAGACCTCTCCCACTCCATTGACAGACAGTCAATCAGAGACGGGCCCTGGCTGCCAGGCCTGCATCCACCTTCACTGTACTAACATTTAGCAGATCCTTCTCTAGCCCTTGTAGAAAGTCAAACTCTGCACAGAAGTGAACCGTAGGTGTCACTAGAAGACCCATGTTCTAGTTCCTCCAGTTGCTTTGACTGTGTATCTTTGGTCTGGGATTTGCCCATTTGATTTGGTTTCCTCATCTGTAAAGATGGAGGAGAGAGTATCAGGAGAATTAGATGAAGTGTCCTGGTAGGGCCACCCAAGCTCTGGTAGTCTGTGTATATCTGAAGCAACTCTGGAAAGACCGTGGATGGCCCACAAGCTTTACCTGAGAGAGGAGCCCCAGCTTGTGTGTGATGGAGCCCCTTAACTTGGCTGGAAGGGCAGAAGCAACAGCCCTAAAATTCATTCGGTACTGGCTGCAGTGGAATCACGTGCTGTGCAGGGCTCCCTGAGAAACTTGCAGTCGCTACTGAGGCCACTGCCCTGAGCCACTGAGAAAGCTCAGGTGAAGACGAAAAGCAGAGGCCAAAGAGAGACAGACACTGCCTGGTTAGGGGCCCACTGCCATCCTGCTCAGCTCCTCCAGTCAATGCCTTGAACAGGGACACTAGGTTCAAATGTGAGTTATTTTCTCCCTCTTCCTAAGTTCAAAGGCATAAAATTACCAGAAACCTCTCCTCCAAACATCAGGAAGAAAGTTGTGCAGTAAGTAACTGGGCCAACAAGCTTGGGAGCTCACATTCTGCCCACAAGGCTTTCCTGGAGTCGGTGAAGGGCTGTGATTTGTAGGGTGACATTTTCTATGGGCATGCAGTTTGCCCCAAAAAGACCTGCAGATATAAGTCATTCATGGAGAAAATTTAGTACATTGTCAAGTTTTAAAGGAGGGATCTCAAGGAGTAGGGGAGAGACTGGACAGTTTTAGAAGAAAATGGAATTAAAAAGCAAAAACTTTCTTGCAGGTCCCAGAATTCCCAAAGAAACAAATGTGAATTTCAATATTCCTGAGCTTCCTGTGACCTGTGGTAATGCTAAGGGGACTCTGTATAAGGAGATTTTTAAGCAAGGTGAGTTTCATGGTCCTCCATGCATTTCAACAGTAAAGTACCCCTGTGACAAGAGTGTGGTTGAGGGAGCAGACACTGGTGTTGGGGGTCACTCTGCCCATCTCTGGGCTTGGAGACTGACAGGGGGGTTTCTGATACCCAAGATAAGGTCTTACCACACCCACGCTCTGTTGAAGTGAAAGCAGAGCACAGCCAGAAAAGGGAAAAGAAACATGGGAAACCAAGGGCAAGCTTCCCAAGAGAGCTGTCACCTGGGAGTCACACAGAGGGCAATTTCTTTCCTAGCAACCAAATGAGACAGCACATGTGAAATGTTTTTTACCAGGGAAGTTGGCCTGCGCATAGCCTCTGCCTGGTGCACCCCAGAATGCCAGACTCCCAGGATGAGAGGCGGGTTCTGCAGAAGCCATATTGCCAGTTAAAACAGTTCAGGAACAGGGAGCCAATCCCATCACTTCTGGGAACCGAAGAGCTGCTCCCAAAATCCATATCTCCACACACTAACCATGGGCCAGCCTTACACAAAAGTGCTTCTAAAGAAGTCTCAGGGGCTGGGGATTTAGCTCAGTGGTTCCACTGCCTGCCTTGCAAGCATAAGGACCTGAGTTCAATCCCTGGTACCCCCCAAAAAAAGAAGTCTCAGGCCTGCTGTGTTAACTCTTTTCTGAAAAACACCCCAGATAGGCTACAGTAATGATAGCATTTTCACACTTTAAAATTTTATAAAATGTTAGTCTTCCAAGCCACAAGATACCTGTCTAGCACCCAATACAAGGGTGGGTACTTCAACAGCTGAAAAAATTCAACATCAAGTTTGACAGGCTCCTTCTGAATGCTACCCATTCAGCAGTAGGCTAAGTGAGAAAAGGCCAGATTTAGAATTAGAAAAAAGAACTGCGTTCAAGTTTTAACTATACCAACAATGTATCAGCCTGTTTTTCCTTACTATAACAAAATTCTAAAGACAGGATACTTCAGAAAGAAAAGAGGTTTGTTTAGCCCACAGTTTTGGAGGCTAGATGCTAAAGATCCTTGTGTGTTTGGCCTTCTGTGAGATCCTAATGGCAGATGGCATGTGTAGGAGGAAGAGATAACACAAGACAGGAAGCCAGAGAATGACTGAGAATTTCCCAAGAGTGGTGGCCCCAGTGATCTAAAGACCTCCAGTGGCTTCACCTCTTAAAGAATCCAACACCTGTCACATCACCACAGTGAGGACCAAGCCTTCCATCGAGGAGTCCTTAGGACTCAGGCCCACTGAGAGTGTGTTCAGGACACACCACATCTGGGCCACCTGCAGCAAGGCCCTCAGTCTCTCTGAGCCTGAACTTCGTTCTCAGCATCTTGTTACAGGAAAAAAATAAGATGACAGACATAAACTACTCTGTAAATTACAATTGCTATGGTATCAATATCCTTCTACCATGGGTGATCCTCTCTCCCACAATACAGTTGTGTGGATACCAACAGGTATACGTGTTGGTTCTATGACTCTGCTCTCTGTGTAATTAATTTTTCCCTCCAGTTGACATTTCTATAATGACTGTTAACATCAAATGGCCAGGAGTTCACAGTATGAGAAGTAATTGATTGTCTTTAGCTCAAGGAACAGTGTCATATAAGGCAAGGCAGATGTGGCAGTAATGACAGCTGTCCTGTGGCACCCAGGGTTCACAAGAGCCCAGAAGAAGGAAGGCAGAGGTGTTCTGAGCCCACAAGGAGCCAAGAACCAGGGCACAGGATGCCAAGCTGCTTGTCTTGGTCTTACAGGAGTCTGGAAGGACAGCATAAAGGGTGAGAACGGAAGCTGGTTCAGCCCCAGAGAGTTTGAAATTAAAGGAAATCACGCAGCATCCAAGAACTGGAAACTCAGTGTACGCTGCCACGGATGGACCCTGAGAGAACTGATAGAGGTATTAGAGTGACAGGTGACTTCCAACAAGGATTTGGATGTCACGATTCACCAACACCAAGCTTTAGTAGAATTGCTGTGTCCAGAAAACTGTCATGATTCCTTTTCTCGGGCCACAATGCATAAGTGATTATCGACAGACCAAGGTGTTGGTTACCTCGGCTGGCTTGTGTTACACTTTATGCTCTTAAGTCGATCAGCTCATATCCTTTCAAAGGTAGGGCGGTAAGTTGTGGCCTTGACTCTGCCACTAATTAACTATCAAATTTGGTGACATGGGCTGGGGATTTAGCTCAGTGGTTCTGCTGCCTGCCTTGCAAGCACAAGGACCTAAGTTCTATTCCAGTACCGAAACAAAACAAAACAAATTTGGTGACATGAAAGTAACTTAAATCAGAGCATGAGGGAATTTAAGAAATTTTGTGGGTCAGTGTTAAAAGCAGCACCATGCAAACATGTATCAGAAAATAACATGTCAACTTAGTAGTCCCCGGGTTGTGAGCTATTTCAACAGCATTTCTTTCGTTAAGCTACGTCAATGTCATTTTTTAACAATTTCTTTTATATTTTTATGGTGCCAGGGCCTCACATAAGCTAGGCAAGTCCTCTACCACTCAGCTACATCTTCAAACTCCTCAAAATTTCTCTTAAAAAAGAATGTTAATTAATTGCTTTTTAAATTGACTCCTTTCTCCTCTTATCAACTCCTGATATAGAAAAATCTAGGACAGTTATCTGTGGCAGGTACAATGCTCCTGGCTGTCACCCATCCCCTGGGTCACTCCAACATATGCAGGAATGTTTCCTAAGCCTCATCTGAGACCATGGGGAGGGAAAATGGGGGAGCCCCTGGCCAGGACTGCAGGGCATCACTACTGCGAAGAGGCATCCACAGGAAGAGGGATAGGAGCTCCAGGGTGGGAAGGTTTAGAGGGTGGCTGAGAGCGTGAGGATAGCTTCACACAGCTGTTTGCACCGAACAGGCTTCCTGGAGAATTGCTCCAATAAGGAAGAGTTGAGAACAGGACATTCTATATCTATATACAGAAAGGGTGGCCTGAAAATCTGCTCCTCAATGTACCGAGAAGGTGGGAAAGATAAGGCTTTGTTCATCACTGGCTGTCAGGGGCGGGGGATCCCAGGGCCTCAAGAGTAAGTCTAAATTCTTCTGTGAATCACTGGGAAGCTTGAGAAATAACTTCCATAAAGACATCTCAAATGTGAGTTCACAGTGAAAAGCATAGCTTGGAATATCTGAAAGGCAACCAGAAATGCCAAGCTCACAAAACAAAAGCAAAGACCCATGATAACATCCATCTCTTCTCTCTTTCAGAGAGGATATCTACCAGAACCACCAAGTAAGAGAAAAAAGGTAATTATCCATGGCCTTTTACCAGTGTCTCCTCCATCACCATGCTGATTGCCCGTCTCTGGAGCTGTACAGTTTTGGAATTGACCACTCCCAGTAAAATTTGATTTTATAATATGGTGCTGCTTTCAAACATAGCACAACATAGACCAAGGCTTTTTCCAGCATTAAAACATGGGTGACATAGGTGGGGACAGTCCTTAAGAATAGATAGTAAGATAGCACTGACCTTGTATACATATGTTAGTAAAAGACTCGAGTGTCGTCTTCTTTTAAAATTAAATAGGAAAGGTGGGGCTGAAGTTGGAAAAACAAGCACAATTTTGAAATGCACAAAAAATACATTTGACAACCCTCATCTTTGCAACCTCAACTTAAATGCTGATTGTCTTTCGCTGTTTCTTCCAGGTTCTATTTTTAATAAAATAACAATGGAGCATAGGTTTTCCTGGAAACATTCTATGGGCACTCCAGAGATCCTGGTGTAAAATTTCCCTTGAAATGTATATTACTGGGCCAGGGATTTAGCTCAGTGGTTCTGCTGCCTGCCTCAGAAGCACAAGGACCTGAGTTCGATCCCTGGTACCAAAAAATAATGTATATTACCCAGGGAAGCAAATAACACAAAACAGAACCTTTTCCTTTCCTTCCTCTTTATATTTCCTCCACAATACACACACACACACGCACGCACGCACGCACGCACGCACACCTGAGAATACAGTGTTTGGAGGCAGAACAACCCTGGAAGGCAACAGCTATGTTTGATGTGGTTTGAATCCTCAAGGATTCATATGTTGCAGTCTCATCTCCACAGTGACAGATTAAAGAGGATGGGAAATCAGTCCGAATACAGTGTTGATAGGTGGGGCCTTTGGAGATGATTGGAATTAGCTAAGAACACTGTGATTGGATATTAGTGGCTTTTTTAAAAATGATAATAAATTTGTGTTTCAATTTTATGTGAAAACAAAATTCCATGGCGAAATAAGAGAATAAGAATAATTAATACAGTGTGTATCCTTATCTTAAAGTGATAATTTAGAATACAAGACATAAACATAAAAGAGTGAGAGACCAAAGGCTATGGAGCCAAGTGTGCCCTGTCTGTCTGTCTAACTATTTATCTGTCATCTCTATCTCTCTTTCCATGTGTCACTTTGGGGTTTTGCAAGCAAGAAGGCCACCATCAGAGTGGGTGCTTCAATCTCCAGAACTGTGAGCAAAATGACCCTCTTTTCTATATTCACCGAGCCTCTGACACTTTGTTATAGGAACACGAACTGACGAATAAAGCTACTGACATGGAAATTCTCTTTTCATGAAGAGAGCCTTTGGCCCCACCAGCAGGGCCATGCAGACTTCACTTCTATCCCTGACGCTGATTTCTCCCTATGTGGAAGTAGTGTGGAGGTCACCAGGGAAGGTAGAGAGATGTTTAATGTGTGCCATGGCCTCTCTAAGGCTGGATATAAGACAGAACCTAGTAAAAGAGGGAGATGTAAGAACTTCCATTTCCCAAATCTTTGACAGAGGTGACCTTTGGTATCTCTGTCACTCTACAAAGACAGTCTTCACAAAGCTAGATTCCTGGGCTGCCTGCCCACTGACTTCATGACTAGAAAGTCAGTGATTAGATTTCATATCCACTGGGTTTTCTGCAAAAAGAGACATTATTTGACCATTCATTAAAACCATACATGTTCACCCAGCTCCAGAGAACCAGAGGTAACTCAGTCTGGGCTGATGAACTGAGTCCGCCATCTCTCACCCCTTCGTCCAAGCACCCTCCCTCTGCTCCCAATGGGATCACAGTCCTAGAAGTGGGACCACCTTGTTCTTAGCAGGCCTCTCCAAAGGGCCTTCCTTCCCCAGCCCTTGGCCTCTGGTGCTTGAGTCCCTCTCTGTACCGTGTGGCAGGTGCTGCTGTTGGCACATTCCCTCCCTATAGGTTTGCTATTAAACCTGCTGGTGGGAGCTAAGGTGCTCCAGAATAAATAGTAAGATACAACAGCCCATGGTCACTTATTGGCTGCCAAGAAATCTCTTTTCCTGAGTGAGAACTGTGCTCATTTTCATGCCTTGTGTAGCGGTCCAACCAACAACTGCAAAGCAACTACTAAGCGCCTGGCGATGGGCTTGGCAATGTCCTGTAAAGGAGGCCAAAACGACAGACCCCAGGATCCTACTTGTCTTACCTGGGAGAATGACTAATAGAGGGGCAAGCTCTTGGGGTTCAGGACAAAGTGGGAAGGTGCTTATCTTCGGGAAGAAGAGAACCTGAGACTTTGGACAGCCTTATCTTCAGGGCTGTGCTCCTGGGCAGGTTGATCTTCTCCACTTGCAAGGGCCCCAAGATTCTGAACCTTGTGGTCCCTTGGGGCCTTGGAGGCCTGATTCCCACTGATGCTCCCCCCAGCGGATGACATTTCCTAATTCAAAGAAAGTTGCCTGAGGGCCCTTCCAAGCAGGAGACTCAGTGGAGTTTCTACAGCTCAGCCTGGAAAGCCAGACCCTGTAGGGGTTCACAAAGATTCACCCTGCATCTGAGGGGCTGGGAAATGATCGTGTGTTGGGGCATACTCACACACATAATTTAATAGTTTTTATTTTCTAATTAAGTACAAGGCTCATGAAAGCAGATATGAAATAAAGCAAAGGGAAGACACTGGCATAAATCCCTTAAATAAAGGAAGCAATCAAATGTGTGGTTAATGAAATATCACATCCAATACTGTCTCTCAACCTTTTTCTCTTTCAGCAGAGAACACTAGACTCTTACATCAATGCCCCAGAAGACCCTTACGTAAGTGCTGACTCCCGGCTTTCACCTGTACCAGCCCAGGCCTTTTCCTGGGCACATCACCTGTGTGACTATTGCTTTTCCCTGAAGCAGTCTCACTCTCAGGTGGGGCATGTTGCTGTGTGTGATGAGCAGGGAAAACCAGGTGTGCCCCAAGGCAGGTGCACTGGTCAGGGTTGGGCATCTCCACTGAAAACATCCTTCGCCTGTTTCGCTGGAAACAGTCCACGCTCTC